ATTGAGCACACCAATGTTTCTGTAGTTCTCTTCGAGAACATGGCATAGAATTAGAAAATTTGTGCATCATAACTCTTTATACATTTATTAACAATGAAAAAGTCAACTTTCACTTTTTTTTTTTTTTTTTTTTTTGTATTATCACTGAGAGACCTATTATTTCATGTACAAAGAAGCAATAGATGTTTATTAAAACTGTTTTCAGTTAATTTAAGGATAAAATACTATGCATGCCTTATTTTCTTTCTTTCTTTTTTTTTAAGTATTATACTTAGTAATATGGTTGAAAGAGAGTTGTTCTTGTGTATATCATTTCTCATTCTAGAGAGTAGATTTTGCAGGATGAATAACTATCTAGATGATTTATAAATATTATAAATGATGCAGGACTAGATATGTTGGCTTGAAGGAGGTGCACTGCATTTACTCTGACTCAATATTGTCTCTAGTCTCTACAGTATTTGCACAGGGTATTAATTTTGGTGCATATATGCAATTTTTTGTGCATCATGTGTGATTATGTACATTAGGTGCTTTTCCATTATGAACTGTCTCTTGTTGAAAATAAGTGTCTCTTTTAGGTAATTATTTATGAGAAAGTAATATCAGTATTGTTTAATATTACTCTTGTTCCCATTCCACATTAATTTTAGGTAATATGTTTTTAACCAAGAGCTGATTGGTAATGTTGTCAAATAGGATATTTGATTTGCAGTCTAGTTCTCAAACAAGGCAAAAATGAAAATTCTTCTGAGCCTAAAGGAATACACTCTTATATCATATATCCCAGTCACTACCTCATCTGTTGCTCCTCTTGTAGAAAACACACCTGCTTTCCAGTCCTTTTAAAGCTGTGATTGCCTTTGTTTTCCTATACACAAAACTAAACCTACCTTACACTTATCCATCTATAAATACCGTACATGGCCAGTTCGGTTCAGTAAGAGAAATAGATTCTGCCATTTTCTTTTTTTCTTCTACTTTTTTTTATTATCTCAAGATGGTAGTATTATAGCTTAACTAAAATGTAATCAGTACATTTTTTAATTTTTTTATCTCCTTCCATTAGAATTTATTTTATACTTTATTCCTATAATTTCTTTAACTATATTGACATTATATTTTTGAATCAGCATGTAGTTTGTGTAATAAATGTCACTATATTTTGTCTGGATATTATCTGCATTCCTTCTCACAATTCCACTTGGAGAGACTGGAGAAGCAGCTGTTGCTGTAACAGTACTATAAAGAAAAAAATGCTTAATTTTAATATTATCTTTTTATCTTTGCACCTATTTTGAACCTTTATTTAGTATACCAAATATTACTGTTTTGGTTCCTCCTAATCTTTTCTTCTTGGAAGATGTATTTATGTATGCAATGAATTCTTTTTATGACTACTGTATGCCTTTACTACAATTGTGCTGAAATTTTCTCTGCATTCCTCAACACTATAACCTTACAGATCATGACCCATATATGAAAATGTTTAAACAAAAGCTGCATTGAAGTTTCCAACATGCTTGTGATACTCGTATACTTCTTACTTTAATTAAAAGACCTCAGTAGACTAATAATGGGATTTAAAACCTCTATGTGAATTGAAAACATGCTCAAACATGTTCTTCAGCATGATGTTTTGTACCTTCAAATCCTCTAGGACAGTAGTTCCCCTACATACAGGCCACCAATATTTACTAATTTTCAAAGTAGCCAGTATAAGAATAACAAACAACCTACTTTACTTTATCTTGGCAGCATGTGGGTGCATTTAGGCATGGAGGCCAAAAAATCACTGGTTGACAGTTTCATTGCATATTCTGATTGTACTGTACAATTAACCTTTAGTAGAGATTATTGCAACTTTTGAGTGTTGGCATGTATGATGGGCCTTAAGAATTTAGACTTGTTCTCATTGGCTGTACTTTGGAAAATGTTGGGAACTGCTGCTCTAGGACAATGCATGATTAGTAAACTTTGAAAAATCATAAGATTCAACACTTTTACATGTTTTTTTTTTATATCTTTACAGATCCAGACACTTTGAATATGCATGAACCACTGCTAGGTTACACCAGGATACTGATTTACTTGTTAACCATTACATTTGCATAAGACCATGGACCTCTCAGCCAGCAGTGTAAACAGAATGAGTTTATATGCATAATTATACTGTAGTGTCAACAATGCATTATATCAGTTACCTGTACTGACTGTCTAACCACTGAGTGCCCTCCCAGTACCTCTACTTGTATTACCAACATTCCAACCCCCTCCCAAACCATATCCGATACCTATACCACAAAGTATCATTATATTAATATCACTTCCATGGTATCACTGGCAAATCCCTAACGTTTTCATACTTTTCAACACCAAGGCATTTCCTTGAGTCACATGTACTACATCAGTTATTGCAGTCACATGTAGTTACCAAAATCATTTAAATCATAACAACTGCTACAGTCACCTGTCCCTCATCTGTTATAACAATCACCTG